TAGTCTAACGAAGTCCAAAATCGATTTTTAATAATGTTTTTTGGTGTTGGTTGATTTTTCCGACCGGGTGGTAAGATTATTTATTTTGGAACGAATTTCCGTCATCCCTTGTAAAGTTTGGGTTGGAAACCCATTTTTTTCCTTACGGATTTTTGTACTTTTTTCCATATAAATATGAATTTGTTACGAAATAAAATGCGCAAGACCGTTCGCAATAAAATTTCAAAACATCAACGGCAGTTTTTATAAATTATACTTGTAATATAAAAATAACCGCAAAAGCGGTAAAAAAATATTAAAAATCAACGCAAATTTTTTAGACGCTTGAAACTTGCACTTCATTAGACTAAAATTGTATGAGCTATAAAACTGCTTACCCAGATATGTTTTAAAAATTCAGATAAAAAAGCTCGAAATTTTTATGAATATTTGTTGAATTTTCACGTTTCACCCTTCGGTTTATATGGTTTTGGTTAAAGCTTGGACACTATTTTTATATAAAAGCAAAAAAAGTAAATTAACTTAAAAAACATTGTGAATATTTAAAAAAGATCATTCGAGCGTAGTTTTGTAATATTCACAATGTTTTTTATTTAAAATATTTTTCATAAATCTTTTATTTAAATATGCCACACTAATATACTGTATAGTTAGCAGTATAGAAAGGTAGTCGTACAAATGTAAAACGTATTAGAAAAAGACTAAATATCTTTTTAAACTATTTTGCTGTATCCATAAATAGGTATATGCATTGTGAATTTCTTACATATGTATAAATGTATATAGTTTTTATGTAAAAAATATATTGGAAATCGTAATTGTATTATATGTATATAGTGTTAAGCATATGTGTATGTTCATTCTTAGCGTGAACTTAATATGGACATAATATGTATATAATAACTTTTGAAATAATATGCTACATATATTGAAATGAAATCTTAATTTAATACATAATATACATTATTACTTCAGTTTATTAGATTTTAAGGCATATTTAATTGTATTAAATTTTCGTACATAATTTTTTTATAAAAAAATTAAATAAATAAAAAATTTAAAAAAGTTGTTTCTGATTCGAACTCGGGTTTTCAGATTACTAGGCAGCTGTTCTACCATTGGGCTACGGCGGCATTTTCCGAATACGCGCTAAGTATGAGTTTTCTGAAATCTCTTTTAAAAAAGACCTAAGAACCAATGGGTGCAACAAGGATAGATGTATGTATACTAAAAGCCTTAGGCCAAACATGTTTGTAAGAAGGTGATAGGATCTCACATGTATACAAAAGCTTTTGCACATTTTTCCCAATGCTCTTAACAAAGTGATAGAAACGAGCAATGTCTTGTGCTGGGTTGAAAGGCATGCGTGCCGGTCATGTCACTAGGTAACGTGACCGGGACTGTTCTTGCTGGGAATTCATATGTATATGTGTGTGTGTAGGTGTCTTATGTGTACGTGGGTGGAACGGGCCATGGTGAGTGGGCGATTCAGCAGGGTTGCTACTGCTCCACGGAGCCATTCGCAATAGAAACAAGTAAGAAAGTCTAAGTTCGGGCGGAGCCGAACATTAAATACCCGGCGCAAGTATTAAATATATGTTTTCCACCTTTCCGAAAGCTACCGCTACATGATAAGCCGGGGTGTATACATTTTAAGTAAATTAGCGTCCTTAAATTTCGAAATATTGAAATTTCAAGCATATCTGAAATTTACCGTTATATGAAAAGCGGCCTCAATTTTAGTCCGATTTCAACAATTTTCAACGGTTTGCTTTTATGTGGCAAGCACAATAACCATACCGAGCTTGGTACAAATTGCTAGAACGGTTAGCGAGATACATATATGTGATCACAAGTGGGCGGTGCTACGCCCATTTTCCAAAATTTTGTCATAAACGTATTTCTTGGTAAAGAATTGTTGCAATCATCAATTTTGAATAAATTAGCTTCAATATTTACTGATTTATCGAAGATTTTGTATTTCTCGAAATTACCGTTATATGGGATGTGGGCGTGGTTATTGTCCGATTTTAGAAATTTTCGGCCAGTTGGTATGCTGTACCAGGACCAACAACTGTGCCAAGTTTGGAAGAAATTGGTGTAGCGGTTACCAAGATATACACATGTAACCATAAGTGGGCGTGGCTACGCCCATTTTCCAAAATTTTATAATATTCTTATTTTTCGTCTAAAACTTATTGTAAATATCAATTTTGAGTGAATAATCTTCAGTAGTTACTAAAATATCGCAGTTTTCGTATTTCTGAAAATTACCGTTATATGGGAGGTAGGCGTGGTTATTGTCCGATTTCGCCCATTTTCAATACCATCCGTCCCACGCCCAATAGAAGTGGATGTACGAAGTTTGGTTAAGGTATCTCAACTTTTACTCGAGTCATCGTGTGCACAGACGGACGGACGGACGGACGGACAGACAGTCACCGCTTAATCGATTTCTCTTTTCATTCTGATCATTTATGTATACATTTGTCTATATCTATCTCGATTCGTTTTGCCTGTTACAAACAACCGTTATGTGAACAAAGTTATAATACCCTTGTGCACAAGTGCGCTCGGGTATAAAAAGGGGGGAACCGCTGAGTAAGCGATATTGTTAATGTTATTTCTAAGCTCAAACCATCATCAAAGATGGACATTGATGGGCTCTCAGCAGTTTTCCTAAAAAGCTGCCCAGCAGTAGTTGCTCCTCTGGAAATAATTTTTAACAAATCTTTATATTACGGCGAGTTTATTGATGCCTGGAAAGTTGCTTCAATAGCTCCCATCTTCAAAAGTGGCAATAAGAGGGATGTCTGCAATTATAGACCTATATCTAAACTAACGAACATCTCGAAGCTTTTTAAGGCATTATTAAAGATAAGATTTATTTCTTTGCAAAAAGTATAATCAGTCCCAATCAACATGGTTTTGTGGTTGGGCGTTCCACTGTTTCCAACTAAGCCGTTTTCAGTGAATTTTGTGTTTCCGCTTTTACTGCCGGAAGCCAAGTGGACTGCATATATATTGATTTCTCGAAAGCTTTCGATACAGTCTCCCACAAAATACTAATTCATAAACTTGCTTGGCATGGGTTCCACTCAATCTTCCTGCAATGGCTTATATCGTATTTATGCAAAAGGCGGTGCATAGTCACCATTGATAATGTTGATGCTTTTACTGGCACTTCAGGAGTTCCTCAGGGGAGCATTCTTGGTCCTTTACTGTTTACTTTGTTTATCAATGACATTACTTCGTGTTTTTCTCATGCTAGTTCTTTGCTATATGCCGATGACCTGAAGATCTACTCAGTGGTAAATAACAGGCTGGATATGCTGACACCTCAATCGGATATTGAGAATCTTTACTCATGCTGTATTAGATCGCATCTTTGCTCAAATATAAATAAATGTTTTAATGTTAGTTATTCGAAATTGCGCTCCCAATTTGAAAGTTCATACAGAATATCTAACTATGTTTTACGCAGTGTTAATGAGATTAAGGACCTTGGGGTTATATTCGACTCTAAATTTACTTTTAATAATCATGTTAATTTCATTATTTCGAAATCTTATGCTATGCTTGGTTTCGTTCGGCGGAACTGTGCTGAATTTCCTGATCCTTATACGTGGAAATTGCTCTACACCTCATTAGCGTATGTAAATAGTGCATATATTTAAGCGCAATATTTAACGTCTTCTGGCGGGGCGACATCTAGAGTCTCCTAATTGTGTCTCTTTGATATGATGCTTACAACGATGTTGATATCTGGACAAGGTTGATATCTCGAATTCGCCACAAATAATTTTGGTACATTTATAGTATAAATGGTGATCTGGAGATACAAAATTACGTGTTGAGAAATAGGTTTTTTTCGAAAAGGATCCGTTCGTTTTTTTTTTATTCTGGATTAAAACAGTTTGTTGTTTCATGGTCTAACAGAATCAGGTCAAAAAACCGATATAAAAAAACCTCTCATTCACGGCTGGTTCCGGCACACTGTGTACTTAGAGCGTGTGTGAATCGGTAACAAAGCTCGCGCCGAGTAAATTTCTTACAAGTAAGAGGTGACTAAAATTTCACTAGCTCATGAGGCTAATGCAATTTTTGACAAATGCATAGACAATTTTGACAATCGCAAAGATTGATAATGTGTATACTTTCTCTGCCCCAAGTTTAAACAAACACATCAAAATATTGGGAAATGGACTTGCTGGTTGCAATATTAGGAAGTATTACAGTATCTATATATATAATACATGAAGGGATTTTTTGTTCAGGATAAAAGATCTGTACCATTCGCCCGATTTTCAAAAATGAGAAATCAAATTAAAGCGCTTGGCATGTAGATGTGCAAACTGGTTTTAGTTTTTCGAAAAGAGTTGCCACCTGTTAAAAAATTGATTTCAAATTAGTTGATAGTCAATGCCATCAAATCCGCACCGTTCGTTCGATTTTCCAAAATGAGGCGTCAAACTAAAAGCCTTGGACTGTAGTTGTGCAATAGATTTTACATTTTTGAAAAGAGTTATATTCAAATTATTTAAAAAGTAAATCAATCATTACAAAATGGGTATCAATTGGAATGGTTTTGAAAAGCTTTGTTTCTTTGCTGAATTAGAGGAGGGTTGCCACCTGTTTAAAAAATCATATTAAGTAAGAGAAATATGTATCACCACATGGGTACCAAAAGAAAGGGGTTTCAGATAGTTTGAAAATGGGTCGCCACCTGCTGGAAATGTCGAATTTAGTTTACTTATACACAAGTTACACGAAATATCAAAATATGGAAGAAAGAGTGTAAAGAAATCTTTAGTTCAGTCACCGACTAAACCTCGTACTGATCAGTTGAGTCAGCATCGTTCTCGCAGTTTTTGCTATTCACTTAGCCTCTTTTTCGGTGTTTTCTTTCATACCGCTCTGCTTATTGTGGATGCGCGTTAATTTTTTTTCTTAAGTGAGAAATAATAAATAATATATAAGTGTATTATAATTTCTCTACCATGTCCCCCGGAGGCACCCAATTCGGGGACAACAGGTTTGCTCTGCTAGCCAATAGTCCCCAACCGAAGCGTAAAAAAACTTTTCAAAAACTACAGGAAGTTTTTCCTGACTTACCGCCAACAAAAAATGACGACCCTAAGTATATCGTGATTAAATCCGAAGATCCTAATGCACCCCTTTCGAAGGTTTCATGTTTCCGCGTGTATAACGCCATACTTACCGTGAGCAAAGATATTAATAAAATTAGTGAATTACGCGACGGCAGCTTGCTACTGCTGGTGAAAAATAAGCAGGTAGCAGAAAAGTTCATTAAAACGAAACATCTTTTTAACATTGGCGCTGTTAGCGTTAGCTATCATCAACATTTAAATTTCAACAAAGGCACCATTTATGCACCGTTTTTAAATGATGTGCCTGAAAGTGAAATAATAGAAGGTTTGAGTGCTTACGAAGCTTCCTCTGTGTATAAATTCACACGCAAATCCCAAGGTGAGACAAAGCATACCGGCGTTATACTACTATCGTTTAATAGTTATACCCTACCAAATAAAATCAATATCGCATGGAGAATGACCACGGTGCGTCAGTACGTGCCTAATCCAATGAGCTGCAAGTCATGCCAGAAATTGGGCCATACACAGAAGCATTGTAAGGGTTCTCCAATGTGCGAAATTTGCAATTTTCCAGCTCCCCATGAGAATGACTGCGTTCGAGTTATGTGTGCGAATTGTTCTGCTGAACATCGCTCTTCTGACAACACATGCCCAAAATATAAGCAAACTAAAGAAATTTTAAAAATAAAAACATTAGAAAAATGCAGCATGCGCGATGCTCTCAAAAGGTATAGAGAAAACATCTCTGTCCCTTCATTCACTGCCAGCTTTGCTCAGGTGCTTCAACCTGCAAACGCGGTTACCTCTGCAATCAATACACCGACAAAAATTTCAGCCACTACAAATTCCACTAAACCTAAAAAAACACAAAGTACAGCCGACAAAGATTTACCTAATTCATCAAAACATAACGCAGGGGTCACCTCTGCTTCCTTTTTATCAACAAATTCCTTAGCTAGCAATAATTGTTCAAATAACGAAAACAATCACAATATCAACAACAAACACACATCACTCAATACAAGCCACAACAATGTTTCACAAACATCAAATAAAATGACAACTATACCCAATATAACTCTTCCAAATTCTTTAGTCCAACAACAGCCACATTCATTTCAAACTTAAACAACACTTTAAACTCGCTTAATAAATATACTGACTTCAACAATACTACCACCAGTGAACCCAATCATGAAAATAGCATCTCAACAACTAACATTACCAACGAGAATCAATACACAACAAATAATGAATATACTGAACAAATAGAAATCGATTATGAATAAGTTTGCCTTATCTTCCCTTCTCTTTTGAACTAGTTCTCAATTGGTGACACTCAGCTCAACTGACTGCTCATACGAGTTGAATTTCTAGCTCTCTTACTTTCTACCTTTACCTTTTTCTCTTAAAAAGAGCTTTTATGATAACAATTTTGCAGTGGAATTAAAACGGCTACACTAATAACTACAACGAGCTTCAGCTATTAATACACGATCACGCCCCAACTATAATACTCTTAAATGAAACTCACCTCGCTTTTAACGCTTCGGCTTTTACTCCTAAGCAGTACACTGGTCTGTTTCACAATTTTCCAAATATTAACACAAACAAAAAAGGCATAGCGATTCTCATAAAAAGAGATATTCCATACAAAATCAATTCCATTCAATCCAGCCTACTGGTTCTGTCGATCGAAATCAAATTAGTTCAAATCATCAACATTATATGCACCTATATTTCACCAGACCAACAATTTACAACTTCAGACATCATGCAAATAATCAACCAAGCAACTCCTCCATTAACTCTCGCCGGAGATTTCAATGTATGGAGTCCGATCTGGGGTTCTCCAAAAGCCAACACGAGGGGTAAAAGCATCGAAGATGCGCTGCTTTCCTCAAACTTAATCTGTTTGAACAACGGAGCCGAAACACACTTTTCTACTCATTCCTCCTTTTCACACGTAGATCTTACAATGTGCACTAACACACTTGCCACAAAATGCGAATGGAGTACTCTCGACCACCTTCACGGAAGCGAAAACTTCCCCATTGTACTAAAACTACACCTATAACCAAAAGCAAAAGAGCAAAAGTCATATTTAAAACTGACTACGCCGACTGGGATAAGTTTCAGTCGCTCTGTGAGATAAAATGCAGAAATAGCACAATTTCTGACAACCCCAACCAAGAAAGTGCGCGTTTAACAAAAATTATTCGCTCGGCAGCAAATGCCAGCATACCACAAACCAAGCTAACTACAAATAAAAAAACTGTTCCTTGGTGGAATAAAGAAATTGCGGAATTGCGTGCAAAAAAACAAGCAGCTTGGTATGAATACAAACGGTCTCGATCACTTGTCAACCTAATCTCTTTCAAGAAAGCTAATGCTCTTTTCCGACGTTCCGCAAAGCTGGCCAAGCGTAGGTGTTTTGAGGATTTCACAAGCAAAATTAATCCTTCCTCTAGTCCAAAATTAATATGGAACGGTTTGAATAAACTGTCCGGAGCCCCTAGAAACTCAACCATCCAATGTGTGAAGGGACCAATAGGTTTGGTAACCGATCCAATTGAAATTGCCGAGCTATTCGCAAGATACTATTCTGAAACAAGTGCAGACACCTCATTTAGTGCACAGTTCCAATCCACTAAAACTTCCACACTGTCCGATAATTTTCACTCTGTTCACCCTCTTTCATTTTCTGCTAGACAAATAGAAACCAGCATTTCTCTCACTGAATTCGAATTCGTTGCATCTACCGTAAAGGGCAAATCCCCGGGTCAAGATAAATCTCTTACCCAATTATCAGACATATGCCTAATAGTCTAAAACTTCGATTGGTAAAGCTGTATAACAAAATATTCGATACTGGCATCTACCCCCAATTTTGGAAAACGTCATGTGTCATACCTCTTCTTAAACCACACAAATCTTCCAATGAAGTTGCTAATTACAGGCGATCTCCCTCCTTCCATGTATGGGACAAATTTTGGAAAAGATCATCGCCAATCGCTTGATGTGGTATGCTCAGCGAAACAAGTACATATCACCGAATCAAGTCGCCTACAGAAAAGGACAAGGCACGTTAGACGCTTTAGTTCAACTCGATGACTTCATAAGTAACGCTTTATCTAGCAAAAACCACGCTTCCGTACTATCTCTGGACTTTCACAGAGCTTTCGACAGAATTGGAGCCCATATTATTATTCGCCAGCTTATAAAATGGAAAGTCGGCCAGAAAATTATGAGTTTTATTAGAAACTTTCTTACAAACCGGAAAATCAAAATTAACGTAAATGGCTTCCTTTCTTCAAAACTCCCCCCCCTCTCTAATGGTACGCCGCAAGGCTCTCCTCTTTCAGCTTTTCTTTTTATTATTGCCTTCGATGATATAAGCCGTATGATAACTAACCATAAAGGAATTGAGCACCAGATCTATGCGGATGATGTTTTAGTTTACACAAAAGTTACTGACGTTAATTTAGCTCAATCACTATTTACGAATATACTTGTTGAAATCGAGTCATGGTCGCTGGAGTCTGGAGCTTCACTTTCTTTAGACAAAACACACATCCTTCATATATGTAGGAAGCTTAATTGCAACGGTATTTCAGTAACACACAACCACACTAACATTGAATGTAAAACACAGCTAAGAATTTTAGGATTAATTTTTGACTCTAAAGTACAGAATAATTTAATTGAGTTCCATGTAGTGTAGCTAGTCAGCTAAAAATTTTCATTCCTGTGGGTACAGCAATAATTATAGTTGCTGAAGTAAAATAGGCTCGTGTATCAACATCTATTCCTACTGTAAATATATGATGTGCTCATTCAATAAAACCAAGAAGGCCAATTGCTATTATTGCATAAATTATCCCTAACGAGCCAAAAGTTTCCTTTTTTCCGGATTCTTGCCTACAAATGTGAGAAATTATTCCGAATCCAGGTAAAATTAAAATATAAACTTCTGGGTGACCAAAAAATCAAAATAAGTGTTGATATAAGATTGGGTCTCCCCCACCGGCTGGGTCAAAGAATGAAGTATTTAAATTTCGATCTGTTAAAAGTATTGTATTAGCTCCTGCTAATACTGGTAAAGACAGTAGTAATAATAATGCAGTTAATACAACTGCTCATACAAATAAAGGTATTCGATCAAATTTAATTCCAA